AGTAGCCAACCCGGGAAGAACCAGCAGCAAACCCGGGGAGGGCCGAGCAGACAAAAGAACAGCGCAGGGTCCTGTGTCGTTCCTCCACGAAGAGGGGGAGCGACATAATGGTGCCGTGACTCGGATATGAAGCCTAGGCAGGGTTTAGTGTCGTTCCCCCATGAAGACGGGGAGCGACACAAGGCAGCTAGGTTCATCACGGTCACCCTAACATCCTGACGTAATGCACCCGACACCCTGCGAACACACACTCGCCTTTCGCTCACATCCAAGCAGAGGAAAGCCTTCATTTCCTTTGCGTTGTCAGACTGACGAAGGCAGGCATACGGGGTAAAACTGATCAGGTTTGTGAGCTGGAAGACCACGCCTTCACCACGCCCCCTGTGTGACCTCATGCTCCTACCTGACCACACCTGTGCGCCCACCTGCCAATCAGACTAAGAACCACGCCCCTTTGGAAGTGGATTAAAGGCCTGGAACATGGTGGGCCTGGCTCTTTCTTTTTGCCCCTTTTCGCCACTGCCGCCTGCCCCATGCGTGTCTCTCCACATGGCCGGCTCCTGGTGCTCGGTATGAATCCAGATTTCCCTCTCTGTTTTAGATAGGGCCCTCACTCTCCTATGCATTTCTCTCACTGAATAAAAGTTAAAACTTAACATGCTGCCTGGTTTATGTGTGCCAGTATTCAGAATCCTTCTCTGACTATAAGGCAAGAACCCACAAGGCTTATTAATTTCGTATCATTAATAAGCAAACTCGTAACAAAACCGTGGGGCGAGCCTTTGGAGTCCCAGCTGCTCTGTGTCCAGTCCACCTTCCTGCTACTGTGCACCCTGGGAGGCAGCAGATGCTGGCTCAAGTACTCGGGACCCTGCCACTCACGTGGGACACGCAGGCTCCTGGCCTCACCCTGGTTGTTGTGGGCATCTGGGGTGTGAACCAGTGGCCGAAAGAGCTCTCTGTGTGTCTTTCTCCCTTTCAAATAAAATGAAAACAAATTTTTAAAAATCATTTAAAAAGAAGTCACACTATGTGCCCTACCCCTTTCTCTTGGCTTGCGATGGAGTTGATAAAAGGATCTCATGGCAGAAAACACCAGCTTCCCTTCCTGTGTCAGCTCACAGCTGAGCCTGGCAGGCAAGACCCTGCCACGCTCTCCTCTCCTCTCCTCTCTCTTCCACCTCCTCCAACCTGTACCCAAGCCTGCCGCTATTGAGAAGAGAGGACATGGCCATGCTTCCCCACCACGCACACCCTGGCCTAAGGCTCACACAGGCTGAAGAGGGTGGAGCCCTTCCAGTCTTTTGACCTGTAGGGCAGTGGGCATAATATAGGGGAGTTTTCTTAAACCACTATGTTTGAAGTCAGCAATGAAATACGAACACATCTAATACAACCCTACTATTAAATAAGATATAAGGGATGGAAATTCCATACGTGCCTCCTCTCTGATCTAATACATAGGCCTCTCTCCTATACTCCACAAGCTGGCCAACAAAAGGACACAAAACTTCTATGGAAAAACTCCAATTTAGTAAAAAAAAAAGTTAATTAAGTAAAGGCTGTTGTCTCATGAACGATTCTGGTGGTTGAAGAAAAGATCTTGTATAAGGAAGTGCTATGAAAGTATACCAAATTACCCAAAAACGATTAGACAAATTCCTGGCCTCTCTCTAATCCTCTCTCTCCCTCTGTCTGACAAGCGGAGCCTCTGCTGTGCTCAGCTGTAATCTGCTCCCAGCACAGCAGCGCAGACACGGGCTGGCCCAGACTACAGCAGCCTGCTTGGGTTTCTGTTGGGTTTTGAATACCTCAGATAGGAGACGGAAAAGGGAGATGGAGACGGACCCAACAGAGACAGGCTGCTTTCCTGAAGCATAGAGGTGGTGACAGTCTCCGAAGACACTGCGCACAGGTTCGTAGGACTGGCCTTTCATTGGTTGCAGAGGGAACTTGCTGCGGGCGGAAGGGGGCTTGCTTACCAGGGGGAGTAGGAGGCTTTTCGGCAGCCTGCTGGGGACTCTTATCTGTTTTGCAAGCTGCCCTTTGCCACTTATCTTTTTAACCAACTCTTTTGCAAAGGGTCTGGGGGAGATCTAGGGTGGTTCAGGGCGGGGTTTCACCAGGGAGGGTGGAAGTAGGGGAAGGTGACATTTTGTGAGATTCATTGCTCTTTAGGGTCGCCCTCTCTTTGCTCCTGGGCAGTAGGCAGACCCGGGCCACTGCTGAGCTGGGCATCTTGGTGAATGGGCCAGCTTCCTCTGCTTGTAAGCACACGGTGTTGGGCGCTCCTCGGCTGACTGGTGGGGAGACTGGGACATCAGAGGTAGCCCTGCCGTGTTTACAAGCAAGCCCTACTTTGCATTAGCCCAGGAACAACTTCCTGGTTGTCCAGCGCCTGCTCCCCCGAGTTCACTGCAGACGTGGGATCAAGGAGAGACCTGGGTCAAGCAAACAAGGACCATCAGACCATCCCCCCATGGTCTTCCTTTATTCCATGTGACCTGTGGAGCAAGGAGCCTCCAGCCTGCCTCCCTGCTCTGGTTTCCCAACCAGACTTAGGCCAAGCTGATACTTTCATTCAACCTGATAGATTTCTCTCCATTTTGCTAAATGCACTACGATCTAACAGTGGAAGCAGAATGGGGAGGGAATGCCCAGTCTTGATCATAATGCATTGTTATGTTTCAGTTTGCCAAAGTCTGCCAAACTATCATCTTTCAAGGCTAATGGGATGTCCCCTACCCTTGTGTCCAGTCGCGGTAGACAACCAATCCCAGATGGATTCACTTGAAAAATCACATTCACTTGAAGGTCTGTTGCCTACAGTTCATTCCTTGGTACTCAATTTTTAAATCAACCACTCTTTGGGGGCACAAGTAACCAAAACCCTGGCTAATTCAGGTAGAAGACCAATTTCTTGGAAGTAGCTCACAGAATTTGTGGGGAAGGTGGAGGGCCAGGCTTAGATGCAAGCCCCAGGTCATTCCCTGGGCCCCAGGTGCATGTGCATGGCCACAGATTCGGTGAATGTTATTTTTTCCATTCTGATTGGAATAGCTTGCATTCATGCATGATACATAAGAATATTAATTACAGGAGCAGGCACTGAGCTTGTAGGTGAGATGCCAGTTAAGATGTTAGCATCCCCCTCTAGAATACCTGGGTTTGACTCCCAGCTCTCGCTTCTGATTCCAGCTTCCTGCTAATGCAGACCCTGGGATGCAGCACTGATGGTTCAAGTAGTTGGGTTCCTGCCACCCACATGAGAGATTTGGACTGAGTCCCTGGCCTAGCCCCAGCTGCTGCAAGCATTTGGGAAATGAAGAAGCTAATGGATCTTCCTCTCTCTCCCTCTCCCCCCCCCAATAAAAATAAATAAAATGTTTAAAGAATACTAATTACAGATTTGTCTAGGGGATCTATTAACTCACCTTCCCTTTGTCATAATGAAGCCCAAATCTACGGGATACCTGACATCCCATAGAGCATCACATGGCTGATCCCATCAGGGACATCATGCTGTTCAGACAGGATGTGCAGAGTGGGCAGCACAGGCGCTGCAGGGGCAGGTCCTACTGACCTACCAAGCAAGGATGCAGCTCAAAAGCATCGTGATGACACAGGAGCCACGCAGAAAAAGTGCACACCCAGTGCCTCCGTGTCCGATTAGTGATGAACGGCCAGGTGCTGGGGCCGTGGAGATCACGTGCAGAGTGCCCAGGGACTTGCTGGGGATGGCAAGGTCGTCTCTCCAGTGTGGCACTAGCCACGTTCAGGAAGAGCCCCCAAAACCTACACTTAAGAGGAACGCATTTTATACCCGCAAAAACCTGAGCTGAAAAGAGCCCTCACCTGCTGCTTTTCCAGGAGCGTTAGTGGGGAGCTGGATAGGAAGTGGAGCAGCCTGGACTCAAACCAGCACTCATATGGGAGGCAGGCACAGCCGAGGCAGCTCAACTGGCTACAATACAATGCCAGTCCCCTGCATTTTTTTTATATTTTACAGTTTCCCATAGAAACTTCTATGTTTGCTAGACATCTTTTCTTTTTTTAAAGCTTTATTTATTTGAAAGACAGGGTTACAGAGAGGCAGAGAGAGAGAAGGAGGGAGGGAGGGAGGGAGGGAGGGAGGGCAGGCTAATGGTTTCACTCCCCAGATGGCTGAAATGGCCAGAGCTGGGCCGGTCCTAGAGCAGGGGTGCAGAAGGAGGTTTCCGTGGCCTCTGCGGGGGTCATGGCCCTGGAGACCCCCCCCAGCCTCACTCTGCCTGGGGCAGATGACACACTGCGGGTGCCCAACACTGGCTTGTCCCCCAGCTCTTGAGCCTGGAGTGCTGTGTTCAGCCTCCCTTTTGTTTCCATTTTCTCCCGTTATCATCTTACTTTGACAAATCCAGGCATTTCTGACATAGCCCCTTTGGTTTCCTGGTGTGTGTATGTGTGTATTTGACAGACTGAGGGACAGAGAGGGAGAGACACACAGCTCCCATCCACTGGCTCACCCCTCCCGCAGTGGCGGGGGAGGGGCAGAAGCTAAGATCCTGGAATTCAAAGCTGGTCTCCGCGTGGGTGGCAGGAGCCCACCTGACCTGTCCCTGCTGCCTCCCAGTGTGCACCAGCAGGAGTCAAACCCAGGCGTTCTGAGGCAGGACGTGGGCATCCCAAGTGCCCGATCAAACGACCACCCCTTCGGTTTGCTTGTCAAAATCTGGTGACTTCCAGCAAGGCAGCCATGCCCACAATCGCGTTTTAAACATTTTCATCATCCCCAGTACTGGATGAAGCCAGGCCACAGGGGAACTGAAATGGCTGGAGCAGGGAGGAAGCTACAGTGAACCCCCAGCTCCCCTGGCCCTGGGGTGGTCCCCGGAGCCCCTACCCTCTGCGAGCCCTCTGTGGGCTGGTCCTGCTGGGCCCGCATCCCCTCCGCGACCTGCGGGGCGCGCGCTGCCCCGGGGGCCCGCAGCGAGGCTGCCAGAGCCCAGCCCTGCCTGCAGCTTCCGCCCGCCCGAGGGAGCACTTTCGCTTTTCTTTCCTCTGGAGCCGGCAGTTTGCTGTTTCGTCGGCCGGTGCCCCGACTTCCTGTTCCTCCCGCTGTGTCCCCTGTGCACAGAAAGCCTGGAGAAGGGTAGGAGCAGGCGCAGCCCCAGCCCCAGCCCCCAGGTGAGTTCTGGGCTCTGCTGCTCTGTTCTCTGCTGCTGGTGGCTGGGGCTGTTGGGGTGAACTTCCTGGAGGCCTCTGCGGGGTGAAACTCAAGTATTGCTACTCTGAGGCTGTCTCTTTGCAAAACAGCGTTCTCCAAAGGGGGTGCAGAGGGCCTGTGGGACTTGTGGGGAGACAGCAAAAAAGGGGGGACATGGAGGCGAAGTTGACACACGCCTCAGCGCTCCCTCTCTCCGGGGTTCAAGCTCAGTGTGTGGAGATGCGCCCCGCCTCCTCTCCCAAACTCTGGTCCTACCCTGGTCCAAAGCTCACTGCAGCTCATTCGTTAACCACCGTGCAAAGACTGTGAAGAGAGTCCATTTCCCCTCTAGCATGTGGTGACCTTTTGATGTATTTTCTATAAGCGCATTCGTGATATTTCTTTGAGATAAATGCCTAGGAGTGCGCATTCCAAGGGTACATCTCCTAGGGTGTTTGATACTGAAGACTGAGTTTTTTGCACCTGTTTGCATTCCCACCTGCGTGATTAGTGCTATTATGTTCCCATTCTGTAGGCAACGGTGCTATCAAGCTCTCTTCTCCTGAGCTTTTCTGACTACTGGTGGGCTAAGGTGTTTTCATAGTCATTGCTCATTTAGCTTCATAGTTCCAGTCGCGGCTCCATTTCCAACTCTAGCTTCCTGCGTATGTGCACCCTGGAAGCACCAGGTGGTATCTCAAGAAATTGGGTTCCTGCCCTGCACGTGGGAGACCTGGATTGAGTCCTGGCTCCTGGCTTCCATCTGGGCCAGCAGTGTTTTAATAAACCAGCAATTGGAATTGTGGGTGTGGGTGTGGGTGTGTAGACTCTGCCTCTCTGCTTTTTAAATACATAAGTAGTTTTGAAAGCAAATAATAAAAACTTCTCTATGTCTCAGTGTCCTCAACAGGTACCATCATAGTAACCATCCCGCCAAAGTTTTGTAAGGATCAGATAAGTGGCTATGAAGCCCTTAGCACAAAGTCTGGCAAACAGGAGGCACCTAAAGAAGCAGCAGCAGGCCGGCGCCGCGGCTCAATAGGCTAATCCTCCGCCTGCGGCGCCGGCACCCCAGGTTCTAGTCCCGGTTGGGGTGCCAGATTCTGTCCCGGTTGCCCCTCTTCCAGGCCAGCTCTCTGCTGTGGCCAGGGAGTGCAGTGGAGGATGGCCTAAGTACTTGGGCCCTGCACCCCATGGGAGACCAGGAAAAGCACCTGGCTCCTGCCATTGGATCAGCGCGGTGCGCCAGCCACAGCGCGCCGGCCACGGCAGCCATTGGAGGGTGAGCCAACAGCAAAGGAAGACCTTTCTCTCTGTCTCTCTCTCTCACTGTCCACTCTGCCTGTAAAAAAAAAAAGAAGAAGAAGAAGCAGCTGCTGTTTTAAGTGCCTGCCCGTTTGGAATCTCAGCATCACAAGGTCACCTGTTGCTGGCCTGCATTGTTTCTGGGAATTACCACTGCTTCCTTTGCCCGTCGCCCCTCGGGCAGCCAGTGCATGGAGGGATGCTTGGGGCCCGAGTGCCTGGCTGCGCGTGCCGTTTAATGCGCAGAGCGGCTGAGCCGGCCTCTTTCCGCAGGATGCCCACCTTGCCCGCGGCCTGGAACGAGGCTCTTCTCCAGCACTTCACATGCCGGAAGCTGGAGATCGCCTACGCCATCCACAAGCCATTTCCCTTCTTCGAAGGCCTCCGAGACAAAGCCTTCATCACGGAGAGAATGTACACGGTGGGTGCTGCTGACCGCTTCTCATGGTGGCCTGGGCCCTGTCGGGAGCTCCCAATTATTGAGCTCTCAAACCACAACCCCCCAGTGCGGCACTGTGTGCAGCGGGTTAAATTGCTGGCCTGCAGCAGCAGTAGCAGCATCTTCGATGGGCGCTGGTTGGAGTCCCAGCTGCTCTACTTCTGACCCAGCTCCCTGCTACTGTGCCTGGGAAAGCAGTAGAAGATGCCCAAGTCCTTGGGCCTCTGCATCCACATGGGAGACCCGAAAGAAGCTCCTGGCTTTCAATCGGCTTTCAATCGGCTCAGCTCTGGCCATTGGGGTGTGAACCAGCAGATGGAAGACCTCTCTCTCTCTCTCTCTCTCTACCTCTCTCTGTAATTCTTTCAAATAGATAAAATAAATCTTAAAAAAAAAATAAGCCCTGGGGCTTCAGGGTTGGGGATGCCCAGCCCAGGTGTGCTTTCGCACTCACAGAGGTGGGAGCAATTGAGAGGTGGTGTTACCCAGGCTGCCTTAGCTTACGAGACCCCACGGGGGCTGCCATAACAAATGACCTCAAACCAGGGGATTTGAAACACAGGAATGCATTCTCTTACAGCTGTGGAGGCCAGAAATCCAGAGCCCAGCACTGGCAGGCTGGATTCTGCTGGAGGCTTTGAGGGAGCCCCATCCCTGGCGCTCTCCTGGCTTCCGGGGGTGCTTGGTGCTCTCGGCCTGTGGCCGCGCCGTTCCACCTCTGTCTCCATCTCTGCTTCCGCCTCTGCTTGTCAGTCTCTCTTTTTTGTTCCCCCCCTTTTCTTCTCTTTACAAGAACTCTTGGATTTAGGGATGAGCCTGGGTGATGGCCACTAAGATGCTTCATTATGTCTGCAGAGACCTTTTGTCCAAACACGTTCACCCTGGTGGGTTCGGAGTAGGCATATCTTTGGGTGCTAGCAGTGGAGGAACAGCGTCCCCAGCATGGCCCTCAGTGTGGCCCTCAGCGCCGCAGCTCCCTCTGCCCATCACAGCCCGGACAGGTGTCCCTGGCCTCTCGCCTGTGAGGCCCTCCCCAGCACTACGCTCCACTCTCACTGGGTGTTTTGTGTTTGAATTGTTTAATGCTTATCTTCTCTACCCGACAATGCCCACCTCCAGTAGGGGCAGCATCTCATTGAGCTTATCCACGGCTCCGTACCCGAGGATTAGTGCACTGAGCCTAGCAGGTGCTCAGTGCGCATTTTGGAGTGAGTTCTTTCCTGCCATGTTTCTGTTTGTCCATGCCGTGGCCAAGAGGGAGTCTGGATGGTCTCCCTGAGACTGGAAGCCACTCCGGCCACCTGAAGTCCTGAAGATGGAGATGGAGATGGAGACGGGGGGAGGGGGGGGGGCGGGAGAGGCAGAGGCAGTATCCTGCCCACAGCCTTAAAGAATTGGTTACATGATGGTATCTTGTGTTGCAACTTTCCTTCCTTAAAAATTCTGTCTTCCTGGGACATCCCATATTAGAGCACTTGTTCAAGTTCCAGCTGCTCTGCTTCTAATCCAGCTCCCTGCTAAATGTGCCTGGGAGAGCATCAGAGGAAGATCCAAGTGCTTGGGCCCCTACCACCCATGTGGGAGACCTGTTTGGAGTTCTTGGCTCCTGGCTTTGGCCTGGTTTTAGCCCCAGCTGTTGTGGCCACTTGGGGAGTAAACAAGCAGATGAAAGATCTGTCTGTCTCTCTCTGTGTGTCTCTCTCTTCTCTGTCTCTATCACTCTGCCTTTCAAATAGATAAATCTTTTTAATTCTCTTCCCTCTAGTGCATTTAAAAGTGAGGCTCACAAAATCTCTCTACCTTAGAGGATTTGAGAGTGCACTTTATGTTAACACTTTTCTTAAAAGAGTAAACTAGGGGCTGATGCTGTGGCACAGCAGGTAAAGCTGCTACCTGCAGTGCCAGAATCCCATATGGGTGCCAGTTCGAGTCCTGGCTTCTCTGTTTCTGATCCAGCTCTCTGCTGTGGCCTAAGAAAACAGTAGAAGATGGCCCAAGTCCTTGGGTCCCTGCACCCACGTGGGAGAGCCGGAAGAAGCTCCTGGCTTCGGATTGGCACAGCTTTGGCTTTTGCAGCCATTTGGGGAGTGAACCAGCAGATGGAAGACCTCTATCTCTCTCTCTCTCTCTCCCCCCACTCCATTCTCTGTGACTCTGCCTTTCAAATAAAAATAAATAAATCTTTAAAAAGAGTAAACTAGCTTCCTTGCAACTCAGAAACCACACACAGGTGGGTATTTTAACTCTCCGTTCACTTTTATCAACTTGAGTCATCATCCTTTGCTGCATTTTTGAAGGAGTCTTTGGAAGCCTGCAGGAATTTGGTCCCTGTGTCCAGAGTGGTGTACAACGTTCTCACCAGACTGGAGCAGACGTTCAGCCTGCAGCTGCTGGAGGCCTTGTTCAGCCAAATCAACCTGCGCGAATACCCCAGGCTGGCGGCCGTGCTCAGGAGCTTCAGAGGAGGTAATGTGGTTCCCCTCTTACTTCCCGCCTATGAGCAGCTGCCCTGCTGAGAGTTCGGGCGGCATCTGGGCTCCGGGAAGGGCGGGACCGTGCGTGCTCCCAGGCAGCCCTGGTCGGCTCTGCCTTTGACTCTGTGAGAGGGACTGTAGAGCACACGCACATTTCTGTCTTAGCTCGACTATGAATTGGGGGGAGGTCGTGCCATTCCGTGTGCTGGGCGGTCACTCAGGAATGCACACGGTGCCAGAAATGCAGCTACAGAGACCTGGTCTGGCGGGCGGACCGGGAGAGCCCCAGAGGAGAAGCAATGGACAGGAATAGATGAGAAGCGGTTTTCAATTTCTTACTAACAAAAGTGTCCATACTTAGGGGCCTCAGGGGGACATTTCAGTCCTGTAATACCCTGTGTGCTGATCAGTCAGGTCATCAGCAGTGCCTCTGTTTGTCCTTGTTGTATGGTTAGGACCTTGGAATTCTCTGCTCACACACCTGAATGCAATATTCTGCACACTTTATAGAATCATCCCACAACGTCTTTAAAACAAGTCAGCGTTATCTCCACTGCACAGACAGGGAAGTTAGAGCTCAGAGGTCACTCTCTCCAAGTTACCTGTCTGTGACACAGGAATTGAACTCAGGTCCCTGGCCAGGGCTCAAGATCTTAACCATGATGCTAAACAGGGTCAGCTGGAAGACAGAGTGGAAAGCTGGAGGGGGGGACAGACGTGGAGAAAGAGGGGGCAAGAAAGAACAGACCACAGGGGAGAGAAGGAGCTGCATACTTGAAGGAGGAGGGAGAGAGGGGCGGCGACAGAGCTGGGGAGAAAGAAGCCAGGGTAGGAGGCAGGAGTAGAATCATCTTAGGTCGGAAGCAAACATTTTGACCAAAGCGAGTGGTTCGCTTATCAGAGAGCAGCAGGGGTGCACCAGCAGCTCACACTGGACTGAGCCACCACCGCTGTAGACAGCTCCCCTCCCGCTCTCTGACTCCGCACCACAGAGTGGCTCCTCCCCGGAGGGAGAAAGGATTCTTTGAGCTGCAGGGGCAGCAGGGAGAAAGGTGCACCTGCAGGTGGGCTCATTCTCTTGGCAACATCAAGGCCGTAGCAGGAGAAGCCCGGACAGAGAGGCTTTGCTTAGCAAGTCCCAGCCAGAGGCGCTGGTGTGCTGAGCACCCCTGCCCCAACCGGGCCCAACCTTGTTGTCTTCTGCTGGGTCCCGTTCCCAAATCCACCTTGATGCTCCTTTTCCTGTTCACTGCTTGAGACAATTCTACGTCTGGAATAAAAGATAGGGAAGAATCCTAAGAGAAAACCAGCACTAGCCATGGAGGGGAGCAGCAAGCAGGAAGCCAAAGTGCTGGGGCATTCGAGGCGGGAGAGAAAGATGAACGTACCCCAACCCGAGAGCGCAGTAGAAGGGCGGGAGCTGCACCTGCAGAGACGAGAATGTCCCCGCAGAGGAATCTGTATTTCATTTTATTTGCTCAGGGAGGTGTGTCATCTGCGTTTGTTACAGCAGAGACTTCTATTAAAGTTACAGCATGTACATAACTGCCTAAAGTCTATGAAACGGAAATTAAAGAAAATTAACCTCTTCGGTACAAAGGCAAGTTCAACTCTGGTGTGTGAAACCGCGCTGAGATTAGATCAGGGGTTAGGCACGGTTAATGTAGCCCAGATCAAATGCAGCAGAAAAACACCACAGGTGGGCACAATGACCAGGAGTCGGTTCTCTGCTCCCCCCCCCCGGGGTAGGGGAGGGGTGCGGTGAGCAGCTCCGGGCCCCTGTCCCCTTAGAAGTCGTGCATTAAAGATCCCCTTCCCTTCGGAACCCACGTACTCCTGCATCCACCCCAGCCTGCGCTTCCCACGGAGAGTGGAGCAGACCCACGGTGGTCCTGCTGGAAGGCCCGCCTGACCCAGCAGAAGGCAGTCGCCTACAGACCCTGCTGCCGCTGCCTGCACCCCCACCGCCCCCACCCAGCTGCCTGCCCACAGCGCACAGGGGCAGTGAGCCTGGAGGATCCTCGGCCAGCACTTCGGAGTCTCTGCCTGGACCCACCGTGGGAGGAAGGAGCACTCCGGGTGAGAAACAGACCCCGAGCAACCCCTGTGTGTGCCCAACCAGGGCCTCCTGGGCCATTTTGATTCATGTAGTCCTTGCCATGCCCCTGCTGTCCGCACACTGCCCTTTCCCAGGCGGATCCTGAGCACAGACAGGGCCGGGGGAGATCTGGAGCCCAGAACACCCACGTCCCACTGCTGGAACCTCCCAACCTCCTCTCTCGGGCGCCTGCATTCTGACCGCCCACTCTCCTCGCTCACACCCTGTCCCTGTAGCCTGTGAGGATCTTTCTTCTCCCCTTTAGTGACCAGTGACAGCTTAACATCCAGAATAGACGAGGAGGAAGACCCCCAAGAGCTGCCCAGCCCTCGCCCCAGCCCTGTGCAAGGTAATGTGGCTGGGGACTGGCTTAGCTTAGCTCCAGGTGTCTGTGCAGGATGGCATGCACCTGCCAGCCAGAAGGCTGTGGCAGGAAGTCTGGGAACACCCGGGGGCAAGGTAGAGAAAGAAACAGAGGGTGCTGATTCGCCGGCTGCCACTGCAGAGTGGGTTGGCCTTCTACACACGGTCTGAAGTGGCAGGTGAGTTGTGCGGCACCTGAGCTGGTGAGCCTTACCCGATTCCTTGTCGCCATCTGATTATGGGGTCCTTTGAGTTTCGGTCTTGTTTATCTTAGGAGGGTTTAAATTGTAGGAGCAGCGTTAGCAAAATTACTAGAAAAGATTACTAAATGTTTAAAGATCGTCCAGACCTGATTGAACTTTAAATTATGCCACTTGTCTTCCCCAAACTGTCACTATGGTAGCATTTGATTACAGTAACGGTGGCAGTAGTACATGGTTGGGTGTTGGTCCCAAATGGTATTGTGGATTTAAAATATATATATATTTATTTGAAAGGCAAAGTTACACAGAGAGAGGGAGGCACAGAGAGACAGAAATATCATCCATCTGCTGGTTTACTCTCCAAATGCCTGCAACAGCCAGGGCTGGGCCAGGTGAAGCCAGAGCCTGGAACTCCATTCAAGTCTCCCGCATGGGGTAGGTGGCAAGGGTCCAAGCACCTGGGCCATCGTCCACTGCTTTCCCAGGTGCATTAGCAAGGAGTTGGTTTGGAAGTGGAACAGCCAGGCCTTGAACCAGTGTTCATACAGGATGCCGGCATCACAGGCGGTGGTTTAACCCACTGCACCACAATGCCAAGCCCTGTGTGGTGGATTCTGAGCGCTCCAGTCCTGCTTGATCCCATGTTTGCTCCACTTTTCCATCCAAACAGACTCACGTCATCAAGAAGCTAACAAGAGTCCATCTTCTAAATGGTGAGACAACAAGTTCCATTATTAAACTAGAGACTAATTGAGAGTAAATGCCCATTCCCTTCCAATCTCACCCCGTGTTGGACAAGGCCTTGGTGGGTGGTCACCCCATCATTTGTACCAGTTGCAATCAGTTGTTCCCTCTCCTCCTCACCCTGGTCCCTGCTTGCTGTCCTGGGATCTGCAATTCTTTATGAATTCTAATCTCCGAGTTTTGGCCTGGCCTATCCGTGGCTGTTACAAGCATTTGGAGAGTGAATCAGGAGATGGACTCTCTCTCACTCTCTCTGCGTTTCAAATAAAAAGAAAAGAATTTTCTATTATAAATAAATAAATAAATGAAAATTTAAAAGCCAAGCAAGCAAACACTGTGTGGTCCAGACAGCAGCGAGCCTCCCTTGCCCCGCCCTGACCATGGGAACTTTAACTTTTAACCTCAGTTGCTTCTGGATCATGTGGGTTTTTTAAAAAGTGGATATTATTCAAGTGCTTTGGAAAGTCATGAATCATTGTAGGTGTCTAATGACCACTTGTCACCTGCCTTGGTCACCTGCTCTGAGACAGGCCAGAATTTAGGACCGTTCTCCTGGCATTGGGAAACAAGAAGGTGCAGCCTTAAGTGAGATGAGCCTTTATTTGTCATAGTTTCGTGTCTTTCCGTCTTTTTGCAACCAAAACTAGCAGAACCTTGTATTCGAGTATATTTGCTGTTGGCAGGTGCTGGCCAGTCCAGGCGCCTGCTGTTTCCGACTGTCCTGTGCCTAACTAGATAAGGAACGCATCCCCTCCACTGCTTCTCAAGGTGACTCATCACAGCTAGGGCGATCAAAGAGGATCCACAGGCAGGTGGCGCAGCAGCAATGCTCATTTCCCTGTGTGGCCGTCTGAATTTCCCACTGCTCTTAGCTGTGTTCCCTGAGCAGGGCCCCCGAGAGCCCTCCTACTTCTCTCCCATCCACTAAGGGAATCTCCCAGAATGGATCAGCCTGAGACTTCACTATGGCACAGTGGTCCCCTGGGTCACTGGGTCAGCCGCCCAGCTAACAGTAACCACGAGTTGGTTAGATCAAGGCAGAGCCGGGCACCCCTGGGGCCAGCACGTTCCAAGGCCTGTGCCGCATACTTTCTGTATCTTCTCCTGGCTGCCCTGGCCCGTCCTGAGCCTGAAACACATTTCTTTTGTCAGTCGTAAGAGATGACTCTCCAGAGCCGAGTGACCCAGAAGAGCCTGGGGAGGCACTGAGCCCAGCTCCAAACAAGAAACGTAAGTGTTGCCTTTCTGTCTCTGCAGGTGTCAGGGGTGTGGACTCCCAGCAGGCAGGCTGTGGCTAGCATCCGGATGCCCACCACAGTTTGTTTCTCTGGATCCCACTCACGGCACCTTCGGCAAAGCCCTTTATAATGACAGGGAAACCCCAAGATGTTCAGAGACACTGAACTACCCCTGGAACTGCCTCTTCTGAAACCCCTGGTCTGCTCCGTCCCCAGCTTCTGGCTGGTCAGCTGCAGCACCCTCTGTCACCGCGATGACCCTGCCTCCTCTTAAGACCTGGCCTTCTCAGCCAGCGCTCACACTTCATGGTGGGAGGAGTTTGGAGGCCACCCATGGCTGCCCACTGCCTCATCCACTCCCTCGCCCCGTCTCCCTTCCTTGGAGGCTTTGCCATTCGATTAAAACAGCCCCTCCTCTTCATCACCACCATCTGCGGCTTCCCCACCACGCCCTGCAAGACCTTCAAGGCTGTGTTTCCCCCAGCTTGGGTCCTGCCGTCATGCCGGTGCCTTCACGGTACCCAGAGGTGACAAACAGCCCAGCCAACACCATGGCCTCGCAGCTCCTTCCTCTGCTCGTCCCTGGTGACTTTCTGCCACAAATTCTGGTCACTCCCAAAGGCAACCCAGAGGCTCTGTTGTTGAAACCCATTCGATTCCCCAATGCTTGGTTTAAGAATTCCCTTTTTAGACCCGTTTCTTTGAAGTTCATTCCTTCTGGAAGATGAACATCATCGCTGAGTCTGTGTCTGTGATTGGAAAAGATTTTCTTTATCCCTTCTTTTTAGGAAGCAAAAGGAAAAGGAGTATCTGGTCAACCCCAAAGAAGAGACACCGGAAAACAAGCCTCCCAAGAGGTAAGATGGGGGAAGAAGAGGAGGCAGAGGGCCAGAGACAGCTCACGCAGGGCTTGTCGGTCAAGGTGTGGGTGCTGGATTTTATCTCAAGTGCAATGAGAGGCCACCGAGCAGATTTAATCCATGCAGTGACGTGGTCTGATTTTAAGCTGGGCGAGATCAGCTTTGCTGCTGGGTAGGGACAGAGCTGGAGATGGGCAGCAGTGGAGTCAGGGCAGCCTCTGAGGACAGAGGCTTGCGCAGGGTGTAGGCAGCCTGGATTCTGAGCCGGCGGTGGCGAACCCGAGAAGAGAGAGGGCTGAGGGAAGATCTGTCGGTCCTGATTGATGGGACTTGATACACTGCACATTAGAATAAGAGAGGGAGAGAGAGAGAAAGAGAGAGAGAGAGAACAGTCATAATTTTCCCTCCCATTCTGGCTTGAAATGTTGAGTGAGTGGTCATGCCCATTGCTGATGGAGGACACAGGTGTATACGGGGGAGGTTAGAGTTCACGTTTTGACCTGTGCATTCAGAGGTGACTGCCAGCTCTCCGTGCAGCCAGGCCAGCTGTGTGTTTTGTCGGGATCTGTGAGGGGTCTGAGGTGTTGCCCTGTGTGCGTAGGTGTATTCTTCACACACAGTAACTGGCTCAGGAGAGCGGTCTCTGTGAATACCGACAACCCACTCAACAGCCAGAGGAACCCTGCAGCCCTGTCCCCACACACAGGCCCCAGAGCAGTGCAGAGCTGCTGGAATCTTCGTGTTTGAATGGCAGGTTACAGCCCACAGGCAACAAATGGAGAAGGGTGGATTTTCCATTTCCATAGATGAGAGACAACCCCCACTCCCTCCCCTCCTGAAAGGAGGGAAGAAACAAACTTTGCTGCTTGGACCTAAGATGGAAAAACCCAGAGCCCTTGCTCTACTGTTTCAAGTTCAAATGCATCTTTCCAAGGCCCAGAGATGTGTCAGGTTTGACAGCCTGTGTCTCCTTTTTGACACTAAATACCTAGAGAGAAACCCTCTAGTCTTCCTGATACGTTGGGACTTCCCCTTGGGTGCTGGTCTGGCTGGAACCATTTGGCCATCTCTGGAGTGAAGAGAAGTTTATTGTTCTTTTGGATCAGAGCAATTAGCTAGATAAAAAGCCCCAGAGCTAATTCTCTCCTGTGTGAAGTGTAAACAGTTAAAGTGCACATTCCCTGTCTTTACCACATAGCTCTCTGTCTCTGCAGAAGCTAAGGATTTTACCCAAGCAAGGAGAAATCGGGGTGGGGTGGCTTCCCCATGGTCAGCCAGCCGGGCACTCAGTGAGAAACCTGGGCAGAGATATATATGTGGGAGTCCAGATCCATGGGAGGAGGCACAAGAACCCAGGAAGAAGAAATTCGCAAGGCAGATGGGGGGAGCGGGGAGGGAGGGGGGAGTACTGAGGGAGATGTGAGCGAGCCCCAGGAAGTGGGGTCCTGGGATTGACATAAATTCAGAGACGAGGGTGTGCCCCCAGAGCACTTTGGTGGTGATGGAGACAGTGGGAGGTGACAGTGGGTTGAACAATGAGTGGGAGGTGACAGCACGTGTGGGGAACAGAGCAGAATGAGGCCGCCTGAACCAGTGGCTTAAAGCCCCTTTATCCTGACTCAGTTTACCCTTCGCTTGAGTCCAGTGTCCAGAGTCACAAGGAGAGGTGCCCTTTAGAGGTCCTTCGTGGGAACAGTCTCATTCTGTGCCTTTCCCCCGAGGAGAGCAGCCTTCCTGGCCGGGAGGGGAGGCGAGCTGCTGTCTCTCCCACTCTGCTTTGTAGTCAGTGCCCCTCGCCTGTTGTGTGCGTTCTCTGTGGGCCTCCTTGGCTGAGCGGCCGTGACGTAGGTTGAAACTCACACTCCCTGAACTGATCCAAAGCCAGGAGCTTGGGTCCCTGCACCCACATGGGAGACCTGGAAGAGGCTCCTAGCTCCTGACTTCGGATCAGCTCAGCTCTGGCTATTGCGGCCATTTGGGGAGTAAACCAGTGGTGGTGGAAGACCTCTGTCTCTCTCTCTCTCCCTCTCTCTGTCTGCCTCTCAAGCAAATAAATCAATCTATTAAAAAAAAAAAAAGAGAGAGTGCAAAAGACCCGGAGCTGACCTGGAAGGCCAATGTTGCTGGCGATGATACAATGTTGCTGGCGATGATAAAGGAAGGAGAAAGTGGCACAAAGTGAGAAGGTAGACAAGGCCAGGTGATGCAGGGCCTTGAGATTGGGAGGACTTGGGCATTTGTTTAACCTAAGATGAGCAGAGCATCCACCTGGATGCAAGCAAAAAATGAGTAAAACTAAGCCATCTTTGCCTAGCTGAGCTCTGTTAGTATGTAGACCCTGGTATCGATTCTAGGCCTTCTTTTCTACACTAGAACCTGATTATTTCATTTCCATAATTTAAGCCTGTGCATGTCCTTTTGTTGTTCTTAGGGTGATGTTCTTGGTCCTTAATGTGGTGGTCAAAGCTCTCTCCAGTTCAGCCGTCACCTTCTCTTCCCACTCAAAGCTGCAGTCAACCGCCCTGAACTTTCACTTCCTCCCATTTTACTCCACTGTGATCCCTGGTGTGTGCTGTTTGTTCTCTCTCCATGCTACAAGTCTACCCCACACCATTCCCCATAGATGTCTGCCTCAAGAAGGAGTGCACCAATGCCTGAATTGGTTAAGGTGGTCCTGCTGCGTGTTTCTGCAGCACCTTGCACAACTCTCTGGGAAGATCCCACCCAGTCTACTGTACTTACATCCTGTGTCTCTTCTAGGCTAGATGGTACTGTCCAAGCACAGACGAGGCATTACTTACTTCTTGCATGAAAACAAAAAAGAAAGAAACCGTATTTCCTGTGTTCCGGATTATGAGCAATGAGCCAACAAAGGAAGTTTATGAATTTCCATTGTGTTGTGCAGAGGGGTCACAGACACCCCTAGCACCACATGGTGCAGGGAAAGATTATTGGAAAGAAATTTCACAGTCGAGAAGTGGGGCCCATCCAGTCCTCCAAATTCTCAATGCCAAGGTTGGGGCATAGATAGATGGTCTACTTAGCCCACCAGCATCCCAGCACCAAAACCAGACTCCCCTAATTGCCCACCCACCCTAGGGTTGCAGGTGGGGAATGTCTATGTGGCTTTGCCTCGATGGACGCTCTCTGGTCTGAAAAGTGGCCTCATTGGAAATGGAGCCTGTCGGTTTGATTGCAATAACTGACCTTCTGAGACTTCTCAAGCTACTGAGCTGAGTAGGAGTTCCCAGGACTTCCAGGTGTATCTGTCTTAACATTGTGTTTAAATGAAAAACTGCACAGAATCTTTTATTTATTTAAAGATTAATTTATTTACTTGAAAGGCACAGTTACAGAGAGGCAGAGGCAGAAGCAGAGAGAGAATGATCTTCCATTTGCTGGTTCACTCCCCAACTGGCCACAATGGCTGGAGCTGGGCTGATCTGAAACCAGGAGCCAGGAGCTTCTACAGGGTCCCCCATGCCGGGGAAGGGCCCAAGGAGTTGGGCCATCTTCGACTGCTTTCCCAGGCCATAGCAGAGAGCTGGATCGGAAGTGGAGCAGCTGGGACTCGAACCAGTGCCCATATGGGATCCTGGCACTGCAGGTGGCAGCTTTACCCACTATGCTATAGCTCCAGCCCCTATACAGGATCTTTTAGAGTGCTACTTTAACTATTGACAGATCATGTACTTTTCAAACAATTTTTACAATTATTTTTATTGTGGTAAGCTACATATAACTTAAAATTTACCATGTCAGTCATTTTTAAGTGTATAGTACAACAGTATTTAACATATCTATAATGTGCAGTCATCAAGACCAGCCATCTCCATAACTCTTTTTCATTGTATAAACCTGAAATTCTAGACCCATTAAACAATACCTTCCCTTTCTCCCCAACAGGGATATTTTTAAGAGTCACATTATTTTACATTTAATCATCTTTATTAAAATACTAAAACACCCCCAAAAAGTTTCAAAATTTAGTGACAAAAAACCCACCTCCATATAGGAAGGCTGAAAATATAGACTGTCCTGCACACCCACAAAAGCTGTGTATGTTTTCTGTAAGACTTCTCAGTTCTCGGAACCCTCATTGCATTATGGAGAAAAAATTAATGTTGCCACTTAAAGCAGGTCTCGGGCTCAGGTTGCCCCAGTCCTTTGGGGAAATACTTCCCTCTCTCCTGGGTCCCGCCCCTTCGACACTTAGCCCCACCCACTTCCTCCAGAAATGGTGCCTGGCTATCCTGGAGAACTCTGGGCTCGGATCCGCCTTCCCAGAGGAGGCAGGCCCTGCAGTGTGTGTGTCCTTGCTGACCTCAGCAGAGCACCCTGGTTCCCCTAGACGGGCCATCCCGTGGAGGTGAACTTCGAAAGCCCACGGCCGATGGAAATTGTGCTCCTCTCTGGCGTGGCAAACCCTCTTGGTCGCAGCCTCACCTTCCATTCCAGCCTCGAAGTGGCTGCTCTCCTGGTGGGGTCCTTGCCTCTCAAGTCTTTGACCTTGGCACTTTCCTCACTAGAGGCACTCGGGATACCACACAGACTTTGGATACCAACCGTGCCGCGCACGCGCCCTGGGGGAGCCTGGTGAGATGCTGTAGAAGCCCCCTCCTCTCTGCTCCAGACCAGTGGCCACAGCCACTTCTGCTCAGATGTGGCCACCTCATAGTGCAGGGAGCACACTCAGGGAAATAAGCCCCACTGCTCTGAGAGTTTCCTAAATTTATGTGGGTGACGTCAACTCACGGCACCTGGAGACACAGCAGATGACGATCTGGGGGGGTGGGAGAAAGTTACATTCAACAAAAAAGAGAAATAGTGTGAGAAAAGCAAGGTAGAGGGGAATAGAGGGCCCCTGAAAGGGAGGAGGCTGGGCGTGGGAAGAGGGGTCCTAGGGAGGGGAGGGGGCATTTCCTGGGGACCCCAATTAAAGCTACTCACAGATCACCAGCTGCTTCAGGGGCAGCCCCGCCTGGCCATGGAAGCCA